TGCATCCCAAATATTGGTTCTAATAATTTGACAAGTTAAATTTATTTGGAATTTACATGTCTTATTTTTATTGAAATTGACAGATTGTTATTGTTATTCTAGAAGATGTTGTTGAAAAACTTACTGGTGAAATTTATGATGAAAAGGACTCAAAAGTAAGACTCACTATTAATTCTTGCCACATTTTTAGTAGAGCTGTAACATTCCAGATTTTTAAAATTTTAAGTTATATGTGTGATTAATTAATAGTAATTAGAATTATGTTATTATTTGAGTAAAGAGTTTATACAGAATAAAATTTATTCTTAATGACTTAATTACAAACTATATAATTTTGGAAGAATGAGAAAATAAATCAAGTTATGTTGAGGAAAAAAATATTATTACTTAAAAAAATTAAATTAAAATAATCAAATAAATAAAACATATATTATAAAATAATAAAAGTAGGTGGCGCGGCACGTGGCCACCAACTGTTATTGGAGAGGGAAGGGAGTAATTCTCATTTCCTGTGACCATCTCATCATTTTGCAAGTGGGTGGCACGTGGCCACCCACCGCCGTGAGGGCGATCGGCCGTGCCCCTTCAGAATTTTGAAAAAAAAAAACAAAAGAGACATTTCATTTGTGAGGGTCACGTGTACTCCCATGATCAAACTCTTTGTCCCCCTCCCCTTTCTGCTTCGTTTTCCTTTTTGTTTTCCTCTGGTTCGTCTCTAGCGAGCTGTGGGGGCAAGTTGAGAGTGGGTGAGAGGAAGGGAAGGAAGGGAGTTTTGTTTTGGTCTCATCTAAGATATTTAGGTAAGCTATTTTCATCATATCATTTTTATTTAGCTTCTTTTTATTTTTGTAAGTTTATGACAGAAAATGAAATTTGTTAGGGCTTGATAATTTTTTTTTGTCCTTGTAATGGAGCTTATGGGGTTAGAATAGGAGTCTTGTAACCTAAATTTTTATTTAGATGGTTGATTTGAGGAAATATAAGTTAGGATTTGGTTGGAAAATTGTGATTTGTGATTTGGTGACATTAATTTTGAATTTGATTTGTTAGTTTAGTTCATTTGAGGTTATATTGAAGATGCAATGCTTGAACTTTAAGGATTTTGTTGGAATGTGAACGTTAATGATTTTTGGAGAAGTTTTAACTAGTAGAAGTTGGATGTTTTGAATAAATTGGGAAAATAATTACCATTTAATGATCATAATGAGTGAGAGATGATTAATGGGAGAAGAAAATAAGATTGGTAATAATAATTTGAGGAATGGTTAAAGTATGGCTATTTTTTTTTTTAGTATTAAAGTAAGCACTTTTTGGAGATTTTTGGATTATTAGAAGGAGTTATTCCTAGTAATAATTTTAATAAGTGAAATAGAGCCAAGAAGTTTTAGGAATTGTTATTAGGAAGGATGATTGGTGGGATAGAATTATTATCTTTTTTTTTCCTAAAGAATTTTTTAGTGAGCCAATTACGGTTTTAACCAATGAAATATTTAATATTATATCAATTAGTATTTTTTTATTAGTATATGTTTATAAATTCATTATTGTAGAGCAAGCTTGGTTTAGGCTCTTGGGTCTTGAGTCCTCCCATTTTAGTTCTTGTATCAAGAACTTGAGATAATCAATATCTATATCTTATATGCTTGTTGATGTGATTATAAGCATAAGTTAATATTATAAATATTATCATTATATGTGATGGTGTTTCGTCTATAAAAAGTGAAAAAAAAATAGAAATTTATGTTTTGATAAATTTGTTAGTTAAGTAGACATGAATTATTTTATCTTATGATTATCCTGTTGATGTTGAACAAAATTTGATCATTGAATATGAGCATACTTTATGAATGCTAGATTGTGTGAAATTGGATGGTTGAAATGCTTATAGAGCTGTATTGGGTTGTGCTGAAATGTAATCGTGAGAAGTTTGGTTATTTTATACCACATGGTATAGCTGTCACTTAGCACCCAGTGGCTGGCTTTAACATTCTTAGAACCCTCAGTATCACCCTTTCCTTGACCGAGCCAAAGGCCAACCCAAGGGACATGACACTTTTCCATATTCCAAGAAAAGAGAACCCATAGTTTGATACAAGTTCTGTAACTTTTGGCCAAGTTATACCTCATTATTGGAGAGCTTGATGTAGTCTTGTTAAAGAGACAAATCCTGTTATATATGGATAGCCCATGGGTTCTGTTAGATGTTATAAGAATAGTTGATGAAGTTTTGTACATGCAAGTTATCTTTTGAATTATTATATATTGTTTTCTGTAAAGATGTTTATCCTATATGTTATTCGAAATTATACTTTGCTTCATTTAACTATCTTGTAATCACTCTATGTATCCTTGTTGAATTGAAATTGTGGTTATTTAATATTTTTCCAAGCGAGGGTTCAAATGTTGGTCTCGAAGAAGTTGTCTAAGGCTTAAGTTTCTCTTTCTGTTTTGTATAGCCTCCGTTTTGTTATACATGCCTTGATTGATATATATTGCCAAACTTTAAGGTTTTTTTGTTATACTTAACACATTTTTGAATTTTTCCGATGCATTCTAAACTTGTGTTGTTGGGCGGAGCCCTCTTGAATACATATTACTTTTATTTTGGTTGATGGTTGTGATTATTATGGGTGGTAGTGGTTGTTATTTTGGTAGACTTCAAATGCCTTAGCTCATTTATGATTGGTTTTAGTTATATTTTTGAAATTCTAGAGTTTCATGATGAATTTAACATATAAGTAAAAATCAACTGTTGGTTATTTCTTGTTATATTAATTATTTTGGTTATTATGAAATAGTGACTACTGCTTTGTTATGAATACAACTTGTTAATAATCATAATAGACTTCTATTGGATTAGTTTTGTCCTTCCTACCATAGTTGTCTTTTCAAATTGATTAGCAAAGTCTTTTATAACTATGGTAGTTTTTCATTTTATGATTTATTCTTTCTATCATAATTATTACTTAAATATTTTTAGTTAACTCTTTCTGATGATATCAGTCATTAAAGAATTAATTATTGTTTTGAAAATAAGTAATAGTGCACTTGTTCCAGGGCTGTTACAAGGGCTGCATTTCAAAGCCCATTTTTCATCATTTTCGCTCACATCCTCGTGCTCTTTCTATTTACATGCCTAACAAGGGCGGTGTTTTTGGCTTCATTATAATGTTCTTCTAATGATTTCATGAAAAGGACTCATTGGTCAGATATGCTTTTCCTTCTTTACAAATACTTTTCTGTTGCAAGGAATTATTGCGAGATTCATGTGGAAAAAACTTTTCATTCATTCTTCCTTGGTTATATGATAGGGGGAGATTCAAAAAAAAAATCTGGTTCCATTGTTATGCGATCTGAGGGAGTATTTGGTGTGGATGCAAACACATCTATAAATCACCTTTCTGAAGAATTGAAAATCAAGATGCCAGAGTTTGTCCCATACATGCAGCATTAATTTGATTTACTTAAAAGTAAGGACAAATTACACTATTGTCCAAGAGAAGCAAGTAAAATAGTTAAAATTAAATTTAGGCATCCTTCAAAGAGAAGCAAGTAATTTGCATGTCAAGTAGGACTTCTAATGCTTACCCAGCTTTCTTTTCATTGCAGGGCCACCAGTATGAGACAGCCTCAGGCTTTGCATGGGTAGCATTCGATCGCATCCCAAAAGCTGGTGAGACCACCAAAGTTATTGTTGAAAAGAAAAATGATGACGACAACAATGAATAAGATGTATACTGAACACCAGGATTTAAAGCAAAAGAAGCTGACAATCAAACTTGAGGTAATCAAGGAGCATAGAGTTTTGCTATTTGTCTCTGCATTATGCTGTCTGCGGTGTTAGAGATGAGTGGCACTGTTCTTGTTCGCTAAGCTTATGAATAGTGTAATTTGCTATGGGTTATATATTTTGCATATTGATATTGATATGGAAGCTCTTTTCTAATATCCAAGTTGTTTCTCTTGCAGATTCTAGCAGCAGATGCTAGAGAAGTGAGTGTTGTTCGGTTTGAACTCATGAATAGTGATGAAGAAATGTCGGAGGCTGAAGCAAAAAAATGCTCTCTTTTGGAGGAGATTGAGTTTTGGTTCCTTCTCTTCTATTTGGCTGCATCCTTTTTGAACATAAAAAGGATGTGAAAGGTTGAAGACAAGATAGGACTAGCTTAGACCACTATGCTTCTCGCATATATCAGTGTGAAGTAAATATCTACAATCAAGCTGTGGAATGTCAAAGATCAAGAGATCTCCATCATGAGGCATCTTCATTATTTGAAATGACCACAATTGCATTGTAATTGGATTTATTTATGTGACTCTCCTTTTTCACTTTGTTTTATCAGTACAAGGAAAATAAGAAATGCAAAAAAAAAAAAAAAAAAAGAAGAAGAAGAAACAAAATCAGAAAGCTTATAATACGCTAAAACTAATTAGAATATTTTAACTATTAAGTATGATAATTCTTAATACTTTTACGCTATAATATTCAACATAAAATTAATAAAAATTAAGCCATTCATCACCACCTTAGAGCATTTTAAAAAAAAATGAAATAGAAGATTATATAAATATACACGTACACGCACATATAAAAGATCATAAGACTTGCATGTGCCTTGTCCTGCCAACACTTTAATTTGAAGTGTACAAGTCAAATGTTTCTATTCAATTCTAGTGTCTTTGATTTAATGGGAGATATGATTATAGCTCAGTGGAGGAAACATAATTCAGAAAAAGATGAAAAATATTATTCATCCGAATAGAATTGAGAAAGGATGTGCACTAAATTAGAATCCCATATTATAATCCTCTTTGCCATTTCTAATTTTCTACGAGGAAACCAACTTTTCCAAACTTAATTGAAACACTTAACAAAATCATAAGTGCACTTTTATTTTATTACATAATAATGACACATTACAGAAGATTAAACTAAAGAACTTCTATATGCACCTCTTTTAATTATCAACAAATAAAAACACCTAAATAACATACGAATAACATATATATATATAAATTGTTAAGAGGCTTCCAGTTTGGAGACACCAACAAGGTGGGCATAGCTGAACTTCTTCCTTAAAGACTTAGTGAGCAGAGTTGCATCAACTCCTTCACCTATTATCACCACTTTATCTCTCTCTTTCCTATCAAACGTCACTGACGTAACCCCTACATATATATATAACCGGAAGATTAGAACAAAATACTTCAGGTGAATTGATAAATCTATCTCACGTAGATGAATTTCGTGTGAGAGAGAGAGAGAGAGAGAGAGAGAGAGAGAGAGAGAATCACCCATAGCCACTGAAGCTATGCTCATGGCCTTTGTTCTGCATTTCTCGCACTTCAATGGAACCTCAATCACGATCTTTTGCTGCAATACCATTTTTATGCATTAAAAACTAGAGAGAGAAGGGGAAAACAAGAAGGATAAGAGTTCACGGTTTGAGTCTGAAAATTCTCAGCAGAAACGTTTCTCAGAGGGGGAGATGAAGAGAGATACGAAGAACTTTGAATATATGAAAGAAGGGATTAATATAGCTTACCTTCATAGCTAATACGCAATTAACAGTATGTGTGTGCGTGTTCTCTTCTTCAATTCCCTGGAGATAGCCAAACGATTAAGCTGTGTACCAGTTCTTGGGTTGGTTTGTATATATAGAGGAATCAACCGATTAGATATCTGAAACTTGAATAGTGAGTTAAACTCTAGAGAATTAGATTGTAACTGAGTCAAAACTGTATAAATTATTTTCACAAAAAAAAAACCTGTATAAATTAAATAATTTATTTTTAAGAAATAACTGAAATTGTAAAATGAGAATTGAGAAGTATGATTGGCGGGGGGCCCAAAATTTAAAAACAAAAAGTAGAAGAGAGACCCCCAATTAGTTGCTTCATTTGCGGATCTGGGCATTTCTCCTACTCTCAACAAATCTGACTGCGACTGATACATATATTCATTCCCACATATATATTTTTAGAAAATTATAATGAAAATTGCTGAAAAATCCCATTGCAAGATTTATTGCTTAAAGATATCTAAGTACTCAGGTATCCAAGATGCAGCAAACTCATCTTCAACGCGAGCGCAATTTTTCTATAAATGTATGCAACATATCCTCAACTACATACAAACCTCTTTTATTCCGCACACCGTTAAAGACAAGTTACATATGACAGATGATACGTTACATTACAGTTGAATTTTAAACAAATGTCACATGCAATTGTGCGATAAATTATGCAATCGTGATTTTTGGGGAATTTTCCTACAATTGCATGTATAATTATAATTATTTCCAATTCAGCTATGTGAGGCGAAAATGAATAGTGATGTTGTTGATATAATTATATCCTTTTTTGGATGCCAAATTTGGAAACTTGACCTCTGTGGTTTGAAGCATAGCAACAGTTCTAGGTATAATACTAGTGTTATATAAGACCTCGTGACCACAAACTTGAGGTAATCAATGAGCATAGTGTTTTTGCTATTTGTCTCTGCATTATGCAGTCTGCGATGTTAGAGATGAGTTGTACTGTTCTTAGCTAAGCTTATGAATAGTGTAATTTGCTATGGGTTATATATTTTGCATATTGGTATTGACATTGAAGCTCTTTTCTAATATCCAAGTTGTTTGGCTTGCAGATTCTAGAAGCAGATGCTAGAAAAGTGAGTGTTGTTCGGTTTGAACTCATGAATAGTGATGAAGAAATGTCGGAGACTGAAGCAAAACATGCTCTCTTTTGGAGGAGATTGAGTTTTGGTTCCTTCTCTTCCATTTGGCATGTTGTGCGCCCTTTCTGAACGCTAAAAAGGATGTGAAAGTTTGAAGACAAAATAAAACTAGCTTAGTCCACTATGCTTCTTGCATACTACCTCCTATCATTAATATGAAAGTTCATTTAACTTTTATTTTGGTTCTAAATATAAGATCTCAATTCATTTTGCTTCTCATATTTATCTTTTTTTTTTTTTCAAGATAGCCCTTGTAATAATGGTAATTCTAGCCAATACACTTGATTAGTAAGGATATTTTAGGAAAGACAACACATATTTATTATAAAATAACTAACTTAACTAATCTATTTAATCTACTCAAATTAATCAACTCGCTCTTATATTAAGGACTGGAGGTAGCATATTAGTATGAAGTAAATATCTACAATCAAGCTGTGGAATATCAAAGATTAAGGGATCTCCATCATGAGGCATCTTCATTATTTGAAATGACCACAATTGCACTGTGATTGGATTTATTTATGTGACTTTTTTTTTTAGACTTTGCTTTATCAGTACGAGGAATAATAAGAAATGCAAAAAAAAAAAGGAAGTAACAAAATCGGAAAGCTTATAATACGCTAACACTAATTAGAATCTTTTAGGTCTTAAGTATATGTGATAATTCTTAATACTTGGACGTTATAATATTCAACACGAGGTTAATAAAAATTAAGCCATTCGTCACCAACTTGGAGCATTTTTTTTAAAAAAAATGAAATAGAAGATTACATAAATATATACGTACACTCGGATACAAAAGATCATATGGCTTGCATGTGCCTTTGTCCTGCCAACACTTTAATTTAAACGTACAAGTCAAATGTTTCTTTTCAACTGTAGTGTCTTTGACTTAATGGGAGAGATGATCACAGCTTAGTGGAGGAAACATAATTCAGAAAAAGATGAAAAATATTATTCATCCAAATAGAATTCACAAAATATGTGCACTGCTTAATGAGAATCCCTCATTCTAATCCTTTTTTCCATTTCTAATTTTCTATGAGCAACCCACCTTTTCCAAACTTGATTGAAACACTTAAAAAAAAAAATCATACATGCACTTTTATTTTATTACATAATAATGACACAGTACAGAATATTAAACTTCAGAACTTCTATATGCCCCTCTTTTAATCATCAACAAATAAAAACACCTAAATAACACCCGAACAATATATATATATATTGTTCGGGTGTTATTTAGGTGTTTATATATATATATATATATATATATATATATATTGTTAAGAGGCTTCCAGTTTGGAGACACCGATAAGGTGGGCATAGCTGAACTTCTTCCTCAAAGACTTGGTGAGCAACGTTGCATCAACTCCTTCTCCTTCTATCACCACTTTATCTCTCTCTTTCCTATCAAACGTCACTGATGTAACCCCTGCACATTATATATACATATATATATATATAACTAGAAAATTAGAACAAAATATTTCAGGTGAATTGATAAGTCTGTCTCACGAATATGAATTTAGTGAGAGAGAGAGAGAGAATCACCTATAGCCACTGAAGCTATGCTCATGGCCTTTGTTCTGCATTTCTCGCACTTCAATGGAACCTCAATCACGATCTTTTGCTGCAATACCATTTTTATGCATCAAAAACTAGAGAGAGAAGAGAAAACAAGAAGGACAAGAGTTGAGGGCTTGAGTCTGAAAATTAAATTCTCAACAGAAACGCTTCTAAGAGGAGGGCATGAAGAGAGATGCGAAGAACTTTGAATATATGAAAGAAGGGATTAATATAGCTTACCTTCATAGCTAATACGCAATTAACAGTGTGTGTGTGTGTGTACTCTTCTTCAATTCCCTTGAGATGGCCAAAAGATTAAGCTGTACCAGTTCCTGGGTTGGTTTGTATAGAAGAAAGCTTGGTGTTTGCACATATATATAGTTGAGATAGACTGAGATGTCTCAGACAGATGAGAATTATTGAATTAAGAAAGGGATTTGAAGATCCGCCTTCTCTGGGTTCAACGCGCTGTGTCATATTTTTACCATTCAAACCAAACAAGTCAACCCCGTGTGTGTGTGTGTGTGGATGCATATCTCAAAAGTCAACCTACACATGTTATGCATCCATGCATGGGCTCAGTTACATCTAGTTGTCAAATCGGTTTTGAAAATGTTACTTAATTAACAAACTTTAAATTATTTAAAATTTATTAATGCAAGTTTAATTCGTTTCAATCTGTGATTAATTACGTATATTTCATCTAGAATTGAAAGTTATCTTTCAAATTTTTTTCAAAAAACTAAAATAATTACCTGTTATATATATATATATATATATATATATATCCCTCAAGTTGGGCTCATAAAATCAATCCTTCGTGGATGGAACTCTTTATTTGAATTTGACAGGGCTCAAATTGAAATTTAAATTAGTTAGTAAATACTCCTATATAATTATAAAATAAATTAAGGAATTAATTTTTAAAATGCTACCAATATATATATATTCAAATGGCTAAAGTATATATTGGATCATTTATCTTTATACAAAATTTCAGCTTGGTCCCTTAATTTTAAAAAATATACTTTTAATCCTAAAATTGTTAGTCTTAAATGATTGTTCTTATAACAATCGTAATTGTTTTAAAAATTAAACTTAATATATTAGTATTTAATAATGTTTTACTAATATTTAAGAGTTTAATATCATCATTTTTTATTAATAGTTTTACAGTAAGAGGACTAAAAACTTACTTTTTAAGTTAATAGACCAAAATGAGACTTTATGTCAAAATTGAATAACTAAAAGTATATCTTAACCTCTTCAAAATGACTTAATTTCCGTGTGAAACTCAATATATATAATTATTCTTGCAGTCTCTAAATTTATAAATGTAATCAATTATTTTATATTTTCACAATTGAAATGGGAGGTAGTGACATCATGCTTTGTTGTGTTGATGACGTAATGGGGAGGCTTGTCGCGATGGGACAGCCTTGCAAACCTCGCTGTGCCACGTTTTATGATCTGGAGCGAATCCTCGATTGGGCAATAAAATAGACAAATTAAGTAATGTTTTTTAAAAATAAAGGTTATTATGAATGTGAACGCACAATTTTTTTTATGAAGTCAGCAAATTATGGAATTAAGGAGTTCTTTCAAGGATCAAAGGAAGGGTTGCCTAAAGACCAAAAGCTTTGGTGACTATAAGGTTAAATAATAAAAGTAAATGAATAGAAATATTCTTATCTCCATGAAGCAATGTAGCTTAGTAGCAAAATTTAGAAGTTTAATTAAAATTTTCTGAAATTTAATTCTGAATATTGAAATATTAGTTGCAAATAGAATGTAAAATTAGCATTATTCTTTAAATCACAACGGCCTAATTATAGATGCTAAAAAATTAGTTACAAACTTATAATCCTTCAATGCCATTTATTTATTTTGGTGGTACTTGTGTATCAAATTTTTTATGTATGTTTTGCAAAGCATTCAAATTAAATTAAAGAAAAGCTCCAATTGATAAAGTCAAACTTAATTGGAAAGTAGATCAAAGTTAGAATGAGTAGTATTCTTAATTCCCACATGCATACACGTGCAAAAGAGTAAGTTTAAATAATGTAATTAAATTGACTAAAAAAATAATGTAATTAAATGAATGGTGCCTTACTACTTCATCACGCGTATTAGTGATTACTTGTACACGTCTCTCTTAATTTTTTTAACACCACTTTCATTTTTTTATAAAATAATAAGGAGGCAAATTGGACCAGCTTGGCTGCTTCTAGAACTATAATGCTTGCCCTTGCTTCTGCGACTTCACAGCTTTTAGGGGGAAAAAACTTCACAACTCCCTGAATATATTTATATATATATAATGAAATAATTTAAATCGGTTGTTTAATTAAAGGGGGTTTATTTAAAATCATGAAAAGGTAATTTTAGTTAGGGAGGTAAGGAAAACTCTGAGATAAATTTAGGGATATGCTGGGAATAATTTAAAATCACTTTTTTTTTTAATTTTTAAACAAACTAGCCTCTATGCACAATTTCCTCTTGATTTTTTTTTTTTTAGTTCGTTTGTTCCGGTGTGCAAAATTTTGAATTGAATCTTGAAAGGGAAAAAATGTTACAATTAAGTGTAGTTGTTTGATTTTCTGGGCACAAGTATCATCTTATTGAAAAAGTAATCATATTTGAAGTATTATCAAGTAATAATTGTGGTTACCTATCTGACTATCCGGAGATTCAAATCTTAATTCATTGTGTTGTAAGAGACTAGCTTTTTTTATTAGACCCATCTCTATTGATAAGATATGATATTTATACTTATTAAAGATGAAAAGGGAATATATAACAAATTGTAAAAGAGTTGGGCTAAACGAATTGGGCCAGACCATTGGGGTGACGCTTTCATTGTAATTGTACCGCAATCACTTGGGTCTAGATATAACGAAAGATGTCAGTCCCTCACAACACAATAAATAAATGTTCAAATTCTCATTGAAAGAAATACCCACGTTTTATGTCCAGTAATACCTTAATAAGACTGGGTTAGGTCTAACGAAATAGGTTAGTCTCTCACAATATGATGAATAAAGCTTAGAATTCTCATTGAAAGAAATACCCACATTTTATGTCCAACAATACCTTGAATAAAATTGTTTTTGATAGGAAAATTCCTATCCATAGCAAAATAAAAAAACAAGATCTCCGCTTAAAAAAAAAAAGAACAAGAAAGAAAAGAAAAATTCATATAGTTGTTCCGCTTCTGTTAATTCTTAAAATTTAATTCATCCAACTCAATCCCTCAAATTTCATCTGTTTAATCCGTTGCCTCCTACATTTTCAGAAAATATCTAATCCTTTAAGAATTAAGTTGTAACGAAATAGTCAAAAAAGTTTATATATATATTTATAGAGCGAGAGAGAGAGAGAGAAATCAACGGATTAAATATCTCAAATTTGAATAGTGAGTTAAACTCTAGAGAATTAGATTGTAACTGAATCAAAACTGTATAAATTATTTTCACAAAAAAAAACTGTACAAATTAAATAATTTACTCTTTTAAGAAATAACTGAAATTGTAAAATGAGAATTGAGAAGTATGATTGAAGAGAGGGAGGAGTGGGGGGGACCAAAATCTAAAAACAAAAAGTAGAAGAGAGGCCCCAATTTGTTGCATCATTTGCGGATCTGGGCATTTCTCCTACTCTCAACAAATCTGACCGTGACTGATACATATATTCATTCCCACATATATTTTTAGAAAATTATAAAGAAAATTGCTGAAAAATCCCATTACAAGATTTATTACTTAAAGATATCTGAGTACTCAGGTATCCGAGATGCAACATATCCTCAACTACATACAAACCTCTTTTATTCCGCACACCGATAAGTTACATATGACAGATGATACGTTACATTACAGTTGAATTTTAAACAAATTTCACATGCACTTGTTGGATAAATTTTGCAATTGTGATTTTTGGAAAATTTTCCCAAAATTGCATGTATAATTATAATTATTTCCAATTCAGCTATGTGAGGCGAAAATGAATAGTGATGTTACGTTGTTGATATAATTATATCTTTTTTTTTTAGATGCCAGATTTGGAAACTTGACCTCTGTGGTTTGAAGCATAGCAACAGTTCTGGGGATAATATTAGTATTATTTTGGTCCCACACATGTTTGTTTCTGGGCCAACAGACATGAAATTAAAACCAAAGCCTAGTCAACTTTTCTTAATTATCATATAAACACAACACACGTAAAACTGCTTCTTTATAAGATAACAAATAATTGAAAATGACATCTGCCTTCCACAACTCAAAGCCAATTCATTATTTAATAATTATATAACTATTAATAATTATATAACCGATCATGATGGTGATTATCAAAACTAAATTAATTTTGTAAAGTACTACTACTATTTATATACATTATTATCTCCGCGATAGGTACCGTCAAAAAATTTAAACTTAATTAGTATTTTATATCAGTTTATATGTTCCATCACTTGAAAAAAAAAATCGAAAGTGACGAGTAAAATTTTTTCTGCCACTATATATTTAAATTATTAATTGCGCTGAGAACGAAAGCAAAGGGGATTTCACGCATATTTGGGAGAGTTTAGAAATAATTCTTTTTTTATGTTTTTACAAAATAAAAATATTATTAAATATTTACTTCATGGGACGCAAAATTAATTAATTAAAAAATAAAATCAAAGAGAGTAAAGGGGGATTAAGATCGATGATGATGCCTCGGCTTCATTGATTTTCCACTTTTGAGGACTTGTTTATAGAGTGTATACGACAATTTATGTTTATATATTAGAAGAAAATAATAATAATGATATAACTTAAAGTGTATATACACATACATCTTCTCTTTCATCCACTTTTAATATACCCATCAAAAGGAAAAAAAATTATCAAAAAAGAGGGAGAAAAAGAAAAAGAAAAAGAAAAAGAAAAGGAGCAAAAGCTGCAAGTAATTTGGAAAATCCATGGTTGCTTTTTTTTTTTTTTTAATTTTCTTTTGAAGCGTTTGTTTGAAAACCCAAATGCTCCAATGAGCACTTGCTGACATGTCTCAGACATACAAGGAATTAATAATAGGAAAAATGATCAGAAAAATTTGAAATGACAAAATGGGCTTATAAATAACTGAAATCACCAAATAAGTATGATGTATCAATCTGGAATTTTGATAATTCGGTAAAAAGACTAAAATGCTCATGACACGTATTTGGAACCAATTTCATTATTCCGGTAATGATAATTACAACATTTGTAATGTGAATTA